ATCTATCTATCTATCTATCTATCTATCTATCTATCTATCTATCTATCTATCTGTCTAGAGGTTTGAAGCAATTTAGGTTCTATCCATCTACTTACCTACCTACCTAGCTATGTATCTAATCTATCTATGTAGCTAAAGGTTTGATCCAATTTAGGTTCAGTCAGTCAATCTATCTATCCATCTGTGTATCTACCTGCCTACCTACCTAATCGTGTTTCTTTCTTGGGAATAGAAGGAATAATAGGTCATACAGAATATTGTGTTTTTTTATCAGGGGCACATGATACCTGGTTGTCACTTTTCCTGTGATGTGACATCCATTGATGATCATTGCCTAGATCTGTTACTAAACAGCACAAAATGATAATATTCTAATTAAATCACTTCTTTCTGAGTTATTAGCTGGAACATAAAAGTTTTCCCTCATCAATTGTTTTGTTACACAGTGGAATAGTTAATGTAGCAAGGGTGGGATAAATGCTGAATTTTTGCCCTTTATTTAAGAGTTTTTAAAAAATAAGCTGGTCTCTGTCATCCTCCAAAGGGTGAAAAATGAGTTCTTTTTGGGGTGCATTTTTGTGCTTTAATCCATTCCAATTAGTAGCTTTATCCATAGCCCATCTTTGGCTAGTGGAGGCCTCTTTAAGTTGAATCTCAGACCCTTTCACATGATGCTGTCTTTTATAGGATCCTTACTTTATGGCATGACTAGGGTTCTAGGTCCATCTCTTACACTTCCTGCCCCATACTCGGAACTGGTCAAATGTATGATAAGCTTCAGAGATGTGATACTTACAGACCATGATGATCTGGGTGCTGAGACATGTATTTATTGAACTTCAACAGTGTGCCTGTGTTTGCATTCTGTTTTTCCCACTAAAATTACACTTGGGGTAATCTGTTGCTATAGGAATTTCACTTGACAGTTGAAGAGGTGACAGTGAAAGATCAGATGTCTTCCTTTCAAGTCCTGTTCAAGGTTGCTTGAACATTTGATGGGGTCCAGCTCTTTCTATTTTAAAACTTTTCCCCCCTATTTCAGCCTTTTGCTTTATTGTCGGTGTTGTCTACATTGAAATGGAAGCTTTGTTGTTTTCATTCTTTCTTTTCCTTTTTTCCCTTCAGTAGTTAACTTCCTAACCCATGACCTTGCCTTTAGGAAAGACCTCAGACTGTCACTGGGAGAGGAGGTTGGAAGCGCAGTTGTCAGACTGGAGTGCTGCTGGTGGTGTGTCCTGTTGGTCATGGTGCCTGTGGCTGGGCCTTTCTGTTGGCAATGGATGCATGGCACCTAGGACCAAAACTCTTCTGCATGACTATGGAACCAGCACATCGTCAGCCCCTGTGGCAACAGAAACTTAATGGTCAGGCTGAAAATCTAAAGCAGAGAAAGATCCTCAGGGAAAGTACAATCCATGGGTCAGATGGAAGATTCTATTCTATTTAAGAGCTTTGAAAATGAAAAAATAAAATCTGAGCAGTTTATAATTTCCCTATTTTGCTTTTTCCCCTCCTCTTTCTTTTAGATGCAGTTCGAACATTAAGCAATGCCGAGGACTATCTCGATGATGAAGACTCAGATTAATTCCTTTCTGGAGCTTTGAGATCTAAAACTTCTGTTGCTTTTGCCATTCCAAAACTTTGTCTTTGCCAGAAAAGTGTTGGTAACTATAAAGCAAAGTATATATGAACACGGCAGTGTTGCACTGTGTTTGAGTAGCAAGTGTAAATGACTTGTTCCCACCTTTGGCTTGCCAGTAAGTGACTGGATTCTTGGCTGTATAAAATACATTTGTGTTCACCAGAGTAGAACAAAAAGAGATTATTTCTATTTATCAAGCTAAAGGAATTTTAAGATTTTTTTTTTCTTTAAAACAAATCAGGATTTTTTTTTTCTTTTTTTTTTAGTTAAAGTGCTTTACCTCAATGGTTGAAATATTTTGAATGGATTTTTTAAGGGGGAAAAATGCTTATTATAATAATAAACCAAAATACTTAACAGAAAATCGTCAGCTATTCTGACAAAAATAAACATTTTGAGAAACTTTATTCCTTTTGTCTGTTTCTGTGGTATCACTCGTTGTCAGTAAGTAAAGCTTTTTATATTTAGGTAAGAACTGATTTTATTTTTTCAATTATATTTAATATTTTTTAGCACAGAAGAACAATGAGAACCACATGTTAGTTCAACTTCTTGTGTCAGCTTTGATCAAAGTCAAGACAATAATCATTGAGAAGGTGCATGTCTAATAAAATAGGTAAATTTAATAATTATGAGACTTCCAGTTTTTATCTCCAAGGTTGTATTTAGAGTGGAGAAACCCAACAACTCATTAGAGTTTCTGTAAGATTTGAAAGGTTAAAAAAATTTATTTCCTTGTGTTAGATGCCATACTTTTCCATATAGAGTAGTCAGGAACCATGAAATTTTTTGCGTTCAGTTTTTTTAATAACATTTGTTTTCTCACAGTATGGACCTAGTTCATAACGATTCAGATTCTTTTGCTGAAACACAATTAACATTGCAGGGAGCCTTCTGTACCACTGACACGACACTTCTTTGGCATTCTAATTTGGTATCACTACAGTGATGATATTAAAAATGATATGGATTAGAATTTGCCTGGAATCCCGGCCCTAGGTCCAAAAGTATATTTTGCATGATTTCAATGCTACTTTCAAAAAACACGTTGTTGAAGAGAAGGAAATGTGTGAAGAAGGAAGTGGGTTAGCTCAGGAAATGAATAACTGCCTCTATAAGAGTTTATTCTGTGACTGTTTGGTTTTTCTCTCTGTGGGAGCCTTGAGAAACGATACCCAGAGAAGCCCATTTGAGGTCTTTCAAACACCCCCAACTAAATTTTAATAGAAGGGAATCTGTACCACTAGTGACAACAAAGTATGAACACAAATTCTGGCACCAACGAAAGAGGGCATGTTCTTCTTAAATATGTTATTAAATTTGATGTAACCAGTTGTATTTCTTCTTAAACATAAACTTGAAGATATGAAATTCTTCCTGAAATTGTATCTATTCCCATAGATCCTTTAAGATTTTTCTTTAAAATGGGGCTTGTTTCTTAACAAAAAGCTTTTAGAGAACCCTGTCACTTTTTGTTCTTCTATACTTTGGGCCGGAGTAATTGGGATGGATTTCAACTAAAGATTCTTAATTTTTAAAACATGGGCAGAAATAATACAGCTTGTGTGGCTATAGACAGTGTTTATGAAAATACCATGTACTTGCTTTAGATACATTATTTGTATATCTGAGGGATAGAAGAGTGGAGGTTTCACTATCATTGTTTTTAACATTAGCAAACTTAAAGAGAATTTTAGAAAGTTGGACAACTATAGTTTTTTTGAAGATGAGGAGAGTCCTTAGCTATGTGCATGAATTTTTAGTGAAACGGGACAACTCATTTAGTTGTGGCTAAAACTCTACTGGAAATTTTTTTGGTTTGTTTCTTGTTTGTTCAGCCTGACTAATCTGAGCTTTCTCAGAGACTGTTTAGTGCTGAACTCAGCAACAAAAATCAGTTCTAGGAATTTGCCACTGCCCTGACTGTGCAGAGAGCTTTGATTATGTTTTGGAAATAACTTCAGAGGTTTTGCTGTAATCTGAGCTTGCTGACAGTCACTGTGGCCTGAACTCCTTTCTAGCGATTGCACCCTTTAGGAAATGCCTTCCAGCTACTTGGGCAGTGTGATACTTGTTTAGTTGTAGACCCAGGAGCCTCATGCAAAGAAAAATTCTTAGCAGGGGTTCCCATTTCAGTTTTCTTTCTGGACTGTTCTGTTGCACATTTTGTTGTTGTTGGGCTGACATGTATTACCTCATTTCTTTCTGAGCCCCCGTGGCTCCTCTTTTCAGTAGATTAATCATGTTATTACCCAAAGGGAAATGTTGAACAAAGCAATGGCGACTCCATTTTATTAATCTTAAAAACAACTGGAAATAGACTGGGTGTGGTTGGCTCACGCCTGTAATCCCAGCACTTCAGGAGGCTGAGGCGGGAGGATCACCTGAGGTCAGGAGTTCGAGACCAGCCTG